GGGAGCGCGGCGGCGCTCCCGCCGCGGGTTCGGATCCTATATAGGGATGGCTGGTGCTCTCACTGGCTGAGCGCAGTGTGGCCAATCTCACAAAAAGACAAAAAAAAAAAAAAAAAAAAAAAAAAAAAGAAAAGAAAACTGGGATAGAAGCAAATTGCAATTTGAAAAGATACCGATTTGAAATTTGCTCAGGAAATAGACCCACCCTGAAGTTCCATAATTATTCTCATCATGTTCTAATTAGAAATATCTATCTCTCAAACAGGGAAATCAATCTGCACAAGCAGGAGGCAGGTAGATGAGTCCAAATCACTGATACTAGGCTTTTGGAATCTTAAGTTATCAAACATAAGGAAAAATTCAAGGAGAAATTATAAAACTGTACGTTAGCCTAGCATTTTCCTGGCCACCAGACCCTGGCCACACATCTGGCTACCAAGATGTATCATAAGTACTTCAGGATCCACAAGTTCAAAACTGAATACATCATCTTTCCACCCAAACGAGAAGGAAATAAAGGGCATCCTGATTGGAAAAGATGAAGTCAAACTGTCCCTGTTTGTAGATGACATGATCCTATATATAGAAAAACCTAAAGACACTACCAAAAAACTAGGGCTAATAAACAAACTCAGTAAAGTTGCAGGATACAATATCAATATACAAAAGTCAGTAGCATTTTTATACACAAACAGCAAACTAGCAGAAGAAATCGAGAAAGCAAGCCCATGTACAATAGCTACCAAAAAAATAAAACACCTAGGAATCAATTTAATTAAGGAGGAAAAGACCTCTACAATGAAAATTACAAAACATTGGTGAAAGAAATGGAAGAGGACACAAATAAATGGAAAGATATCCCATGTTCATGGGTTGTAATAATTAACATCATCAAAATGTCCATATTGCTGAAGTAATCTACAGAGTCAATGCAATCCCCATCAAAATACCAATGGCATTCTTCACAGAAGTAGAAAAAACAGTCCTAACATTCATATGGAACAACAAAAGACCCCAAATAGTCAAAGCAATCTTGAGCAAAAAAATAAATAAATCTGGAGGCATTACACTACCTGACTTCAAATTATACTATAAAGCTATAGTAGCCAAATCAGCATGGTAATGTCATAAAAACAGATACATGAACCAATGGAACAGAATAGAGAACCCAGATATCAATCCACATACTTATATCCAAGTGGTCTTCAACAAAGGCACCAAGAGCATACATTGGGGAAAGGACATCCTCTTCAATAAATGGTGCTGGGAAAACTGGACATCCATATGTAGAAGAGTGAAACTAGATCCATACCTCTCACCATATACCAAAATCAACTCAGAATGGATTAAAGATTTATATAAGACCCAAAACTATAAAACTCCTAGAAGAAAACAGGGAAAACACTTCGAGAAGTAGGACTGGGCAGAGAGAC